GGGAAAAGAACAGCAGAGTTCCCAGGGATCCCACTGGTGCGGCTATGAAGTCTGAAGAAGTTGTTCTCAGGTGTTGCAGTACAGCCTGGCTATAAGGTGTAGAGGTATACAACACCAGGTATTCAGGGAATAGAAAGAGAAGGAAGATATAGAGAGACAAGAAACTGAGTGATGAAGAAAGACAAAAAGGGAAAGACAGGGAAGAGATAACAAAACAAATTAAAAAAAAAAACAAGAAAAGCCCCCCAAAAAACAGAAAAAAAAAGCAAACAATGAAAATAGAAATGTTCTCAGGGATCCCTCTGTGTGTCTGCGCAAGCTGAGGGGGTAGGCTCCAAGCCGCACAGCACCGCCCGGCCATAATCGGCTCCCAACTCAAGAAAAGGAAAAGAAAACTAACAAACAACCCCAAACGAAGAAACATAAGCCCCGGATCCCACCAGCATGGTAGCCCAGACTGGGAAGCAGCTACACACTCGAACGGAGCTCCGCAGCCCCTCAGGAAGAAGCAAAGATGGTGCACGGAGCCAGGTATTTGAGCAAAAGGAGGGGGAGGTGGTGAGAAGTAAGGAAGAAATCAAAAGAAGTGGACAAAAGCAACACCAGCAGCCAACAAATGGCACTCAGAGAGCCGGCCCGTTTGGTGGGTGGAATCCAAGCATCTGGTGCTTCCCGGGCAAGAGATTGTGGCCACGGGAAGCAGAGGAGGCCGAGTGGGGGTGAAGAAGGGTGGGGGGTGGGAAAGCATTTGTCGCAAATTACCGGTTGTTTTGTCTCCCGCTGGAAACTCCATGAAGCTGCCTTCTCATACCCCCTGTTTGCTGGTCTCTGATAGGAGTCCAAGATGGTGGATCTGCACTGCGTTAGCTGATAGGGGACCTCTGCATGAATCTCTCCTCACTCTCCATTCTCTGTCAGTTTTCTCACTCCATTGGTGCTTGGCTGAGTTCTTTATCTCTTCATTTGATGTTTTAGGGTTTCAGGATTGTTGTTTTCTCTGTTCGGCTTAGTTTTTCGGATCTTTGCTTTGGAGGGACGGTGTGGTGCTTCTGCCTAGAGCACCATTGTGCTGGAAGTCTCGAGAAAATAATTTTCTGTTCATTAAAGCCATCTACTTGTGGTATTTCTGTTACAGTAGCACTAGATAACTAAGGTAGCCCCCCTGTGGTGCAGTGGTAAAGCGCTCGGCTGCTATCCAAAAGGTCAGTGGTTCCAGTCCACCAGCCACTCTGTCGGAGAAAGATGTGGTAGTCTGCTTCAGTAGAGATTTACAGCCTTGGAAATTCTATGGGGCAGTTCTACCCTGTCCTATAGGGTTGCTATGAGTCAGAATTGACTCGACGGCAATGGGTTTGGGTTTTTGTTTTCCTAATTATCGAATTCTGAGAGTTTTTACATATTCAGAATGCAAGTCCTTTCCTAGATATGTGTTTTGCAAAAAATTTCTCCCAGGCTGTGGTTTATCTTTTCGTTCTGTTAACAGTGTCTTTTTTTTTTTAACTTTTTTTTTGAGATAATTTTAGATTTACAGGAAGTTGTAAGAAATACTACAGAGAGATCATACATGCCCTCCCCATCTCCCCCGATAGTAACGTCTTGCATAACTATAGTGAAATATCACAGCCAGGGAATTGGCAGCAATCTATCCATCTGTCTTGTTTGGTTTTCATCAGTTTTACATGCACTTCTTTGTATGTGTTTGTACTTTGTTCTATGCAGTTCTAGCACATGTGTAGATTCATGTGGCTACCACCATCAGAGTCAAGATACAGAACAGCCTGTTGCGAGGATCCCTTTTATAGCCATAGGCACCTCAGACTCCTCCCCACATCCCTAACCCCTGGCAACCACTAATCTGTTCTCTATCTCTGTAATTTTGTCATTTCAGAAATGTTATATAAATGGAATCATACAGTATGTAACATCTGAATATGCTTCTTTCACTCACCCTGGAAATTCCTCCAGGTTGTTGCATGTATCAGTAGTTCCTTCATTTTGATTGCTCAGTAATATTCCAAAGCTTATTTAACCATCCATCCACTGAAGAATATCTGTGTTGTTTTCAGTTTGGGGCTATTATGAAGAAAGCTGCTATGAAGATTGGTGTACAGGTTTTGATGTGAACATAAGTTTTTATTTCTCTGGAATAAATGCCTAAGAGTGCAATTGCTAGGTCGTATGGTAGTTGTGGAATGACATCAAGGACATCATACATGAAGAAAGCAAGAAGTCATTAAAAAGACAAGAAAGGAAGAAAAGACCAAAATGGATGTCAGAAAAGACAAGTTGTTCTTGAACATAGAGTAGCTAAAGGGAAAGGAAGAAATGATGAAGTAAAAAAGTTGAACAGAAAATTTCAAAGGGTGGCTCAAGAAGACAAAGTAAAGTATTATAATGAGATATGCAAAGACCTGGAGACAGAAAACCAAAAGGGAAGAATACGCCTGGCATTTCTCAAACTAAAAGAACTGAAGAAAAAATTCAAGCCCCGAGTTGCAATATTGAAGGATTCTCCGGGGAAATACTAAATGACCCAGGGAGCATCAAAATAAGATGGAAGGAATACACAGAGTCACTGTACCAAAAAGAATTGGTCTACGTTCAACCATTTCAGGAGGTAACATACTATCAAGAACTGATAGTACTGATGGAAGAAGTCCAAGCTGCACTGAAAGCACTGGTGAAAAACAAGTCTCCAGAAATTGAGGGAATACCAACTGAGATGTTTCAACAAGCAGATGCAGCGCTGGAAATGCTTACTCGTCTATGCCAAGAAATTTGGAAGACAGTTACTTGGCCAATCGACTGGAAGAGATTCATATTTGCACCCATTCCAAACAAAGGAGATCCAACAGAATGCCGAAATTATCATACGATATCATTATTATCACACACAAGTAAAATTTTGCTGAAGATCATTTAAAAGTAGTAACAACAGTACATCAACAGGGAACTGCCAGAAATTCAAGCCGAATTCAGACGAGGATGTGGAACCAGTGATATCATTGCTGATGTCGGATGGATCTTGGCTAAAAGCAGAGAATACCAGAAAGATGTTTACTTGTGTTTTATTGACTATACAAAGGCATTCGACTGTGTGGATCATAATAAATTATGGATAACATTGTGAAGAATGGAAATTCCAGAAGACTAAATTGTGCTCATGAGGAACCTGTACCAAGAGGCAGTCGTTCCAACAGAACAAGGGGATACTGCGTGGTTTAAAGTCAGGAAAAGTGTGCATTAGGGTTGTATCCTTTCCCCATACTTATTCAATGTGTATGCTGAGGAAATAATCCCAGAAACTCAACTACATTAAGAAGAACGGGGCATCAGGATTGGAGCAACACTCATTAACAACCTGCAATATGCAGGTGATGCAACCTTGCTTGCTGAAAGTAAAGACGACTTGAAGCATTTACTGATGAAGATCAAAGACCACAGCCTTCAGTATGGATTACACCTCAACATAAAACAAAAGTCGTCACAACTGGACCAATAAGCAACATCATGATAAATGGAGAAAAGACTGAAGTTGTCGAGGATTTCATTTTACTTAGATCCACAATGAACACCCATGGAAACAGCGGTCAAGAAATCAAACGATGCGTTGCACTGGGCAAATCTGCTGCATAAGATCTCTTTAAAGTGTTGAAAAGCAAAGAATTCACCTTGAAGACTATGATATGCCTGACCCAACTATGGTGTTTTCAATTGCCTCATATGCATGTGAAAGCTGGATGATGAATAAGGAAGACTGAAAAAGAGTTGATGCCTTTGAATTACGGTGTTGATGGAGAATATTGAATATAGCGTGGATTGCCAAAAATAATGAACAAATCTGTCTTGGAAGAAGTACAGCCAGAATGCTCATTAGAAATATGTTAGACTTAGAAATATGAGACTTCATCTCACATACTTTGGACGTGTTATCTGGAGGGACCAGTCCCTGGAGAAGGACATCACGCTCGGTAGAGTAGAGGCTCAGCTTAAAAGAGGAAGACTCTCAACGAAGTGGATTGACACAGTGGCTGCATCAATGGGTTCAAGCACAACGATTGTGAGGATGATGCAGGACCAGGCAGTGTTTCGTTCTGTTGTACATAGATAGGGTTGCTATGAGTTGGAACCGACTTGACGGCACCTAACAACATCATAGTTGCATGTTTAGTTTTGTCAGAATCTGCCAAACTATTTTCCATAGTGGCTGTACCATCATACATTATACATTACACATTCCCACTAGCAATGGATGAGTGATCCAGTTTCTCTGCATCCTTGCCAGCATTTGGTATTGTCACTATATTTTTTTTTAATCTATTCTGATAGAAGTGTAATGATAGATATCTTATTTGCTTTTAATGATGAACATCTTTTTCTGTGCTTAACTGTGTCTTTTGAGGAGCCCAACCTTTCTCGATATGATCATTAGGTGGGAAACTTCCTCTTGTTATCTTCCAGTATATTCTCCAGAGCTAGAACAGGTGTCCTTCCACAGAACCTGTGCTTACTCAGACCATAGTATAGCCTGTATCCTTCAGTTGTAAATTCCTGCTGAGAATCTGTCTCCTTAGACCGTGATCTTCAAGCGGCAGAAGCAGTTCCTCAGCTAGCATGTTGCATATCAGAGATAGAATGACTTGAGTGTTAAAAAGAAAGTAGAGCACGAAAAAGGTTGGATTAAGGCATGTCCGCCGACCCACTTCCTCACTGTTCAGGCCAAGTCCGGCGCTAAACCCAGAGCACACAGCCTTTGTCAGACGCATGCGCAGCTTCTCCTCCCGGCCCCACCCCAACTCCTCCCTTCAGCCCCTTCCCTCTGGGCCGCCTCTCCCCGTCTGCCGGCCAATTAGGGAGAGGAGGCGGGGTCCTGGTTGTCGCGGTGCTACTTGGGTAGTGTCCCTAGTTACTGTTGCTAAGGCTGCGGGTCGCCGGGAATCAGAAGTTTTGGAAGTCAGGGCCTGAGAGAGGTCAAGGGTCAGTGCAGAGCCGGGGAGGAGATGGTGAAGCAGACGATCCAGATTTTCGCGAGGGTGAAGCCCACTGTCCGGAAGCACCAACAAGGGGTACGGGCTGGAGCAGCAAGGGCGCCGGCGCGGCGGGGTCTCCCGGGCGGGCGTGTGGGGCGGCACGCGAGGGGCCTGGTCAGCGGTGAGGGGCTCTTTGTTGGGCGCTGGATCCTGCCCTCAACCCATCAAACAAACGCATTGCCGTGGAGTTGATTCTGACTCATTGCGACCCTATATGACAGAGTAGAAGTGCCCCCATAGGGTTTCCAAGGCTGTAATCTTTAGGGAAGCGGACTGCCACATCTTTCTCCCGTGGAGCAGCTGGTGGGTTTCAGTTAGCAGCCACGCACTTAAGCACTGCCCACCACTAGGGTTCCTTGCCCCAAACATAGACATACAGTACTCAAACGTATGTTTTTGCACTGGGCAAATCATGTAAGCAAGTGATGCAAGTTCATACATGTCTGATATAGTACAGATATACACAAAGCACGCACATAGTGCTTTGCAAACAGTAATATGTTCGCCAACTACATTGTCATTCTGTAACATAAGCATGAACCTTGACATCTAATCGTCGCAGAAACATTAACTGAGCGTTTACTAGGTGCTTCCTCTAGTGTGCTAACCTCAGAGGCTATAAAGAATGGCTCTTGCTCTAAGCAAGACCGTTGCTCACTTTGTGTTTCTTAGATGTGTCAAAACATTGTTTTTACCGCCTGGAAGAGAACGTAGTCATTCTTACTACATCTTGAGAAATTGCCACTTGATGGGCACTTAATCTACATTATCTCTGATTCTCACAAGAACACTGCAAGGCTGGTGTCATTTATCTTATTTTATAGATAAGGAAAAGGAGTCTCACATAGGTTAAATAATGAGGTTAAATAATGTGGCCAAGCCACCCAGCTGGTAGGTGGCAGAGCTGTTATTTTAATTAAGGTCTTTTGATTTGCTCTTTGCTCAAAACCTTTTGCCTCCTCAAGTGAGGATTTAGGCAAAGACAATTTGGATAACACTGATGAGTGCCTGGAATGGATATATTATTAGTAATATTTTATCTCTGTCCCAAATTGTTTTTTTTATCATTTTACTCTGTTTTTGTTTTATTATTATTATTTTTTATTGTACTTTAGATGAAGGTTTACAGAACAAATAGTTTCTCATTAAACAGTTAGTACACATATTGTTTTATGACATTGGTTAACAGCCCCACTGCATGTCAACACTCTCCCTTCTCAACCTTGGGTTCCCTATTACCAGCTTTCCTGTCCCCTCCTGCCTTCTAGTCCTTGTCCCTGGACTGTTGTGCCCCATTAGTCTTGTGTTGTTTTATGGGGCTGTCTGATCTTTGGCTGAACGGTGAATCTTAAGACTGACTTCGTTACTTAGCTAAGAGTGTCAGGGGACCATACTCTCGGGGTTCTCCAGTCTCTGTCAGGCCAGTAAGTCTCATCTTTTTTTGTGAGTTAGAATTTTGTTCTACATTTTTCTCCAGCTCTGTCTAGGACCCTCTGTAGTGATCCTTGTCAGAGAAGTCAGTGGTGATAGCTGGACACCATCTAGTTGTACTGGACTCAGTCTGGTTGAGGCCATGGTAGTTGTGGTCCATTAGTCCTTTGGACTAATCTTTTCCTTCTGTCTTGTTTTCTTCATTCTCCCTTGTTCCCAAAGAGGTGAGACCAGTGGAGTATCTTAGATGGCCACTCACAGGCTTTTAAGACCCCAGACACTACTCACCAAGGTAGAATGTAGAACATTTTTTTATAAAATATGTTATGCTAATTGAGCTAGATGTTCCCCGAGACCATGGTCCCCACAGCCCTCTGCCCAGCAGTTCAGTCCCTTAGGGAGTTTGGATATGTCTATGGAGCTTCCATGACCTTTCCTTGTACAAGTTGTGCTGGCTTTCCCAGTATTGAGGACTGTCTTACCCTTCACCAAAGTTACCACTTATCTGTTGTTTGTTTAGTATTCCCCCCCACACCTCCCATCCCTTGTAACCATCAAAGATTGTTTCTTTTTGTGTGTACACCTTTTCATGAGTTTGTACAGTAGAAGTCTCATATAATATTTGTCCTTTAGTGATTGACTTATTTCACTCAGCATAAAATCGTCCCGTTTCATCCATGTTATGAGATGTTTTGCAGATTCATCACTGTTTTTTATTGTTGCATAACACTCCATTTTGTGTATGTACCATAGTTGGTTTATCCATTCATCTGTTGATGGGCATCTAGGTTATTTCCATCTTTTTGCTATTGCGAACAATGCTGCAATGAACATGGGTGTGCATATGTCTATTCGTGTGACGGCTCTTATTTCTCTAGGGTGTATTCCTAGGAGTGGGATTGCTGGATCATATGGTATTTCTATTTCTAGCTTTCTAAGGAAGTGCAATATCGTTTTCCAAAATGGTTGTATCATTTTGCA